TAGAAGCAGCAAAACAAAACAGGAAGGCATGAGACAAAGGCATCAGGTAGTCTGTGGTGCCATGCAAATATGCAGGCAGACAAGTTCTAAGGCAAAGACAGAAGTGGTAGCTTTCTGGTCTGTGTCTTCCTTGAAAAACAAGGCCTGAGGGGGCAGGGCAGGGACAGGAAATACTGGAGGCTTGAAGACTTTATGCAGGGAACAGAAAAGCTGCTGCTCAGAAATGGTGAGTGGCCAAGATGGAAAAAAAAATCACAAAGTACTAGGGAGCCAGTGAGGATTCCATAGCACAAACTGGCTATGTGTCCAGTCAGGACACCTCTTTATTACCAGAGGATGCCTCCCACTTATCTTTTAATTTTGTCTCCTTCCTAAACATGCAAAAAGTTAGTCAGAGAAAGAATGAGAACAGAGGGCAACTGTTCACATGGAACTGCGGGTGAAAAGGAAAACCAGAGTACCTAATTTTCTAATCTAATGAGAATTTGCTTAAAACTAACAGCAATAATGGCTGCCTTTATTAAGGAATCACTCTAAACTATGCAACATGCTACATTCTTTTCACATGTTTTCTTTAATCTTCACAAGGACCATCAAAGTAGCAAATTAATATCCCAAAAAGACTAAGGCTCAACAAGGCTGAGATTTTCACAGAAAGCAGGGCTCCAGGACTGCTATGGTCTGAATGTTTGTGTCTCCCCAAAATTCACCTGTTTGAAACCTGGCCCCTATGGTAGTGGTATAAAAACATGCTTGACAGAGCCTGTTCGCCCCTTCTGCCTATGGGGAAACATACAAAGGCACCATCTACGAGGAACAAGCCCTCATCACACACCACATCCACTGTGCCTTGATCTTGACTTCCCAGCCTCCAGAACTGTGAGCAATAAATTTCTGTTGTTCGTAAATTGCCCAGTTTAAGGTACTTTGTTATAACAGCTGAAGGAACTAAAACAAGCATCCAGGTTTAAATGTCCTTGGAGCCTATACATGCCCCTTTTGCCACACTGCCTCCTACTACATGCTGCTTATCGAAGTGTTTGGGATTCCAGACTCTTGACCGAGAAACACATACATTATTCAGGACATAATAAGTTAACAAGAACAGTGGATGCGGGAGCCTTGATGTATCCAGACAACAAACATCCTCAGCCTCAAGTGGCCCCCCAAGCTTGAAATTCAACAATACATTGTGAAGGCAAGAGCAGGAGTCAGGAACCAGTGAGCTGGTAATTCTTTTGAGACCTTCCCGTGATACAGCGAAGTCCATGTGTAAGAAGCTCCTGGGGGGGTTTCCTGCTGAGTGGAAACACAGAATTTTCTCCTAAATATTTAGAAAGAAGAGAAACAAGTCCATCATGGGCAGACGTCCCTCTGACAACTCCAGGCACTGATGGAGGGTGGCTGAGCAGAACTGAGTACCTGATAAGATAATCACTACTCAGGAAGCGCCTCCTCCCAGTGATTCATTCATGAAGTATCTTTTCATTTTAAGGACTGTTCACCAGGCAAGGAGAAACCACAGTCAAAGACAGGCAGTTCCCAGTCTAATGACTGCTTCTCAAACTGTGGAAGCCCTTGGATTAGATTCATCTGGTGCTTATCACAGATGCAGAAGAAAGGCCCTGTCCCTGGCCAACAGAATCACAATCTCTGCGGCTGGGGCTGCATTTTGCACAAGGTGGTATATGCATATTGTATAAGTTCACTGGATGCTTCTTGTACACACTCAAGGTTGAGGACCACTGGGTTCAGTTGATAGACAAGCACAACACAATGTGGTAAGTGGAGGGGCACCCAAACTTTTGGGAGACAATAGAGCAGCAGTGCTTAACCCAACTTTTGGAAATGGTTTTTAGTGAAATAGCAGCTATCCAGGCTAAAAAGAAGCAAAGAGCTTTCTAAATGAAGCTAACATGCTATGAGAGAGAGAGGCAGGTTATGTGCTCTTTACTGAGCAAGGTAGAAGGTAAGGAGAAAACCCAAGTAATGATCATTTCTTCTACTCTTCATTGCATGTGAAAACATACTTCTAATTCTCATGCCAACTTCTGACTCAATCAAGAAACATCTGACAGCAACACTTCCATAAGTCTCACTGTAATTCCGGCAACTGCAGGGCAAGAGTCTGGGTTCCTAACTGTCTGTCTAGGTTTCCATAAGTGATTAACAGGAGGCCTACAATTTAAGCAATTGTTTACACTTGTCATCTGTAAAATCAGAATAATCACCAAGAATCAGATAATGCAACATCATGTACCTCTTGATATGATGAGCCAAAAAGGACACATCATTTCTCTACATTTCTGCCAAAAATACAAAACTCGAATCTGATCAGTAGGATATGTAAGAGAACCTCAAACTGAAGACTTTTTCTAAAACAGCTGTCCTGTACTCTACAAAAACGTCAAGGTCACAAAAGGTAAAGACTGAGAAATTTCTAGAGATCAATGGAGATCAAAGAGATCTGACAATAAACATACTACATGATCCTGGATGGGATATTACACCATAGAGAAAATAAGGCCCTATAGAGGACCTTATTGGGACAACTGATGGAATTTGAATATGAATTACAAACTTTGAATTTGACGATAGCATTATACCACTATTCAATTTATTTCTGGTTTTAGAAATGTACTGTGATTATTATGTAAGAGAATGGTTACGATATTAGGACATACACACTGAGTGTTCAGGGGTGAAGGGGGATGGTGCTTCCAAGGCTCCATCAAATGATTCTGGAAAAGTAGGTACAGAGTTCTTTGTACTATCCTTGCAATTTTTGTGTGTTTAAAATTGTATCAACATACAAGTACTTGTCAAAGTTATCAGGCCATGAAAAACAAGGAAAGACTGAGAAATTGTCCAAAATGGAAGGAGACTGAGGAAACATGACAATTGGTATCCCTGGATTGGATCCTCAAACAGAATAAGGACATTAGTGGAAAATCTGATGAAATCCAAATAAAGTTGGTAGTTATGTTAATGTAATGTATCAACGTCAACTTCTTAGTTTTGACTAACGTAACAAGATTAAGATTTTAACCTGAGGGGAAACTGGAAAAAGGGTATAAATGTAAGCATACACAATCTTTGTAGCTTTCTGTCAATCTAAAATTATTCCAAAATAAACAGATAATTTAAAATATATACATTAAAACACACACATAGCAAAGGACACCTCCAAAGGCAGAGAACACTACACTCACCTCACAGGTAAGGAGGACTGTCTATTAAGAGCTGCTGTCTTAAAGCAGAGGTTTTCAAACTGCACTGACCATGGCAGAATCAGAATTAAATAGTTTACCAGAACCACTAAATTAGAGTCTCTTGGGATGGGACCACTGAAAACAGTTATTTCGAGTAAGTGCCTGGGTAGTTCTGATGAGTACCGGGCTTGGGCACCAGGTATCTAGCTCAGCAAGTCTCAGATTGAACTATGCACAGGGATACCCTGGGGATCTTGTTAAAATGCAGACTCGGTCAGGAGGTCTGGAATAAGACCAGAGATTCTGCATTTCTAATGTGCTTTCAGGTGATGCCCAAGCATGTGATCCAAAGCCCCACAGACTGAGAAGGGCAATGCAACAAGACAGAGGGCCCGAGTGCATGCCACTGCAGGGCATTCAGGACCTCTACACGTGTGTGAGACCAACTTCTATCTCATTGAAGCCATCGGTCTCTCAGGCTGTGGCCAAACCTAATCCAAACTACATTTAGTCTGCACCAAGTATCTCCAAACATTTTCTTAAGGTAAATTTTAACTAGCATCTCAAACCACACATGAAAGCAGATAAGCATCTGTTGCCTGACTCAAAAGTATCCGAAACTATTAGGCATCTCTACTCTTCTCTATTTGTATAGGTTGCTTCTTGAGTCACTAGAAAACTACCTTAGACAGCAGTTAAAATGACAATGATGTGTGGTCTGATGACAGCTTTTTTGACAAAAATCCCAAAAATTTACCCTTTCTTACATTTAAGTTTAAGTTCAATTAATTCTGATCTGACCCATATAATTCATTTTAATGATTCCTTTGGATTCACACAATTCCATATAACTCTTGCATTGATCTGCCGCCAGATAATAAAATCTGATCAGGAAAAAAATTGTAAATCATAATCGTAAAATAGCATAGAAAACATAAAGATTGGAGTTGCCATGGTATTATAATTTTTAAAATGTAGAAAGCCATTTAGAACCCTATATTATATACATTATAAAACCCGTAAGTATATATTAGGTCTCAACCTTTTATTTCTTAAATCATTTGCTCTTGAATGACTACAGTAAAGTGAGGACAAAATGAACCATTCCGAGATAACCTATAATCAAACAGTGCATGAGAATCACACCATACAATTCTCAAGACTCAAGTTAAAGGATGTCTTTATGGGTCAAACCACTTTTATAAGTCTTCTTGATATTTTTTAATTCAATAAACACTTGTTGAGTATTTACTTCATGGCAGACAATATGCTAGACACACTAAAAATAAAAATTACAATTGGCTGAAATCCAAGACTGAACCCCTCTATACTAATTTCATTATAAAACTATTAATGTAACAAAGTATCAGTGCATTTCGCTGCTTCTGCAAAAAATGAAGAAAAAGGTGATTTTAAAAATTAAGTTTTGTCTTGTCTGTGTTCCAACAATCTGCACATATTCATGTGTCATGGCAAGGCAGGGATGGGGCAGCCTCCACTGTGTCAACTGCCCAGGGCCCGATCCACTTGTCCCTACCACCTCCTTCCCAGCTTCAGACACAAATCCTGCATTGACACAATCCAAGTGGATGCTGGAAGAGTATAAAAACTCCATCCATCACTATTATATGTGCCACAGAGATCAAGCTACATTGCAACTATTACTGCACAGATTTTTCAACACAGCTAGAGGAAGAAAGGGAGAAGAGCGAACTATCCAAAGTCTATGAAAATTCCCATATAGAAAGGAAACTGAAAATAAACACCCAAGGCTGTCACGTTACTAACCTGATCAATTTCCATGAGTTTGGGGTAGGCGCCCGGCCATTCTATGGCCACCTTGACGATGTCCGCGGGTGGCGGCATTGTAAGCCCCCAAAATGTTCAAAGCCAGTGGGACTGGGGATCCTACAGTGTAAACGGCCACACGTGTCTATACCTAATGAGGAATGACAGAAAAAGAAAGAGAAGTCACTCAGTGCCGATGCAGGGTGAATTTTGCTTCATCACTTCCTGTTTTCATGGTGGTTTGGTATGAAAAACGGCTCCCCTTGGTGTCTGGGTGCTGGAGGTGAGGGGCACAGCCAACGGTAAGACGGGCTCCTGAGGAAAGAAGAAAGATGGGGGTACCCGTGCCAACGCCCTTGAGTCAAAGCCGCCAGGAGACGCTGCCCTGTGGGGCACGGCTTGTGTGAATCTTCAGTGGAAAGAAAGCTATTCCTTACCACTGAGTTCTGTTCCAAATGGTGCCCAGGGTCTGAATGAGCCAGGCTCACTCTCTGTCCAGACATGCATGTAAATGTCTGGCGCTCAACAGTCTCCGGAAGGACAGATTGCCCAGGAAGTCATGGTCAGGAAGCAGTGTTTCTTTAAAGTGTTTTCTGCGTGTCACAAATAGATCTCCGCACTATAGCAACCAGGATATCATGAAGGAGAAACACCCTGAGAGCTCACACACATGCACACTCATACTCCCCCTACAAGGTCAGTTCCCACAATGCACCTTCGGTGAGGGGGGGCGGGGCAGAAAAATGTACAGCTGTGGATTGGATGGCATTCAGAACAGACTCTGAATTCTCACTTGAATGAATCGTGCTTCTTACACAAAGGAGGCAACCATTATCCTCTGCGACCTCTTCCCAGGCTAGCCCATTTCTTTTTTTTTTTTTTTTTTCTTTTTTTGAAACAGAGTCTGGTTCTGTTGCCCAGTGGCACAATTTTGGCCCACTGCAAAATTCAAGCAATTCTCCTGCCTCAGCCTCCCGAGTAGCTAAGATAACAGGGGCCCACCACCATGCCTGGCTAATTTTTGTATGTTTAGTAGAGACAGGGTTTCGCCATGTTGGCCAGGTTGGTCTTGAACTCTAGGTGATCTGCCCACCTCGGCCTCCCAAAGTGCTGGGATTACAGGTGTGAGCCACCTGGCCTGGCCCCATTTCTTTTTAAAATTAGTTTGTTAACAATCATGTGATACAAACTTGTGTGTTTGTGTGTACAAAGATGTACATTGTAGAGTCTCTTCTCCCAATGTCACCCACCGGCCCAATATCTGCTTTCACTCCTTATCCTTCCAGTTATCCAAGTGATTAGGTATCCCTCCAGAATTTCTTCAAGTATAGAAGGCAAATACAAAAATACATTATTGCATTTCCACTTTCTTTATATAAAAGGCAGCTTTTTTTTTTTTTTTTTTTTTTTTTTTTTTTGAGACAGTCTCCCTCTGTTGCCCAGGCTGGAGTACAGGGACATGATCTTGACTCAAGACAACCTCCAGCTCCCAGATTCAAGTGATTCTCCCGTCTCAGTCTCCCAAGTAGCTGGGATTATAGGCGCACACCACCACACATGGCTGATTTTTGTATTTTTAGTAGAGACAGCATTTCACCATGTTGGTCAGGCTGATCTCAAACTACTGACCTCAGGTGATCCGCCCTCCTCAGCCTCCCAAAGTGCTGAGATTGCAGGTGTGAGCCATCGTGCCTGGCCAAAAGGGAGCATTCTTTTTGTTTCTTTCAGTATATTTTCTAAATCCTTCTATGTTAGTACAAAGAGAGCATCCTGATTCTTTTTACAGTTACATAGTAGTTCATTGTGTGGATGTGTCCTATTTGATGAACCAGTCCCCTGCTGTGGACCACTGGGTGATTTCTTAAGTTTACTTATCATAAACCAAACTATGATCCATAAACTTATGTCTAACTAATTTTGCACATATGCAGGTACATCCTTACAATAGATTCACAGAAGTAAAACTGCTGGGTCAAAGCACAGATGCAGTTAATATTGATAGCCATTTCCAAATTTCTCTCCATTGGACTTGTATGATGTGGCCTATTTATACCCAGCCTCACTAACAGAATGAATTTTTGCAAACCTGACAGGTTGAAAAATAAAATCTTAATCTATTTTTAAATTCTATTTCTCTTATTGTGAGGTTGAACATAAAGAGGAAAAGACACACCCTCCCTTTTTGTGAACAGTCCAAACCTTTGCCCCTTTTCTATCAGGTTCTCTTGTCTTTTTTGAGAAATTGGTATCTGTAATGAAGATCTTAAACATGTGCATTTGGTCCTTTATCAGACCAGAGTAAGCCTTGTCAGTTACTATCCCAGATCTCAGCAGTAGCTGGACGTTACTGAGACAACAGAGATAGCAGAGTTAATGGAATTCTCACCACCACCAGCAGTTATATAAATAACTAACTTCAGTGCAGCTGACAAGTAAAGGAAATGAACCAAAACAAAACCGCTACTCCTTTGACCAAAGACGATTAGGGAAGCCTGCTGAGAAGCTAATCAGTGGTAACCAGCAAGAGCAAATCTACAAAGCACTGGTTTAGTCACTCATTCAACAAATAATTATTGAGCCTCTGCTCAGTGCCAGGTCTATTCCCCGTGCTGGGGATACAGAGCAGCAAATCTGGGAGTTAGCAACAAAGGATATGAAGAAAAATCAAGCAGGGAAGGAAACTGAAGCCTGTGCCTCTACCAGTGTGGGAGGGGCAGGAATACAATTTTAAACAGGAAAATCAGGGAAAGTTTCACCGAGAAGGCAGCATCTGAGTAAAGACATCTGAGGCCAGATGTGGTGATTCACGCCTGTAATCTCAGCACTTTGAGAGACTGAGGCGGGTGGATCACTTGTGGTCAGGAGTTCAAGACCAGCCTGGCCAACATGGTGAAACCTCATCTCTACTAAAAAATACAAAAATTATCCAGGCGTGGTGGTGCTTGTAATCCCAGCTACTCGGGAGACTGTGGCAAGAGAATCATTTGAACCCGGAAGGCAGAGGTTGCAGGGGGGCGAGATCGCACCACTGCACACGAGCTCGGGCAATAGACCGAGACTCTGTCTCAAAAAAAAAAAAAAAAAAAAAAGACATCAGAGAGGTGAGGATGGGAGACCTGTGGACATCTGGAGAAATCAGTTTCTAGGCCAAAACAACAGCAAGAGCAAAGGCCCCAAGGGAGGAGCATGCCCTGTTATGTTCCTGAAACAGGGTACTTGCTGAAGTGAAGGGCAAGAATAGGAAGAGAATGTGTTCAGAGAACGGTGGGGTTATCCTTGGTAGGTTCAGTTTTCCATACTCCTGACCCCCTGGACAACTTCCACCACACCTCTTGGTTTGTGACTTCTAAAGAAGGAAGCTGTGTGTCCCTGCACGCCTATTCAGAGTGTAAATCAGCACAGCTTTCTAGAGGGCCTTTGGCAAACTATACGAAAAGCCTTAAAATTTTGCATCCCCTTTGAGTAATTTCAATTTTCTAGAATGTTATCCTCAAGAAATAATTATTAACCACAGCAATGCCAATTTCTGTTTTGTCTGTAATTCTCAAAACTTGAAAACAATTGAATATTCAACAATAGGGACTTGTTAAGTAATTATAGTGTCTGCTATGTGCAAATGCAAGCAAACAATCTGTACTCCCAACTTCCTCTCCATAGTCTGTATGCTCTTTGAATACTTGAGAGCTCTAAAAACAATGCATTATATCTGTGCTACATTACTTCAATTCGAGATCCAAGTTCAATTACATACCCTAGAATAAGAATTAAGAAAGCAGGCTCTAATGTGCAGAAAGACTCTGTGAATTTTAGGTAACACTATTCAAAAGAAAGCATACACCATCTTGGGGGTTAAGACAGTAAATAATAAAAATAAGAATGCATTTTAAGCACCTTGCCCCCACCTGTACATAAAATCATCTAGAATTACAGCAAAAGAGGTCAGCTAACCTTTTAGGAATCAAAGGCCACGCTTGTATTTCTACCCTTTTAACTAGTATTTATTTCTCAAAGACCGTTCAGGAAAAACCTGTTGAACAGGTGAGAATACAATAACGTTGGCTCCAGTGGAGAGTCAGAGGGGAGCTGTACACAAAGCAACCATTGAGAAAGCAAAGGAGCAAGGAGGCTTCCCCTTGGGAATTCACTTAACCAAGCCCAATTAGACCTCACCAGTTTTCCCCAACATTAACAAACCACAAGGGAAAGGGAGGGGGACACAGCAAGGCTACTCTGGGGTACAGCCAGGTGCACAATTGCAAAATGGATGATCTAGTTCACATTTTATCATCAGAAGTGCAGACCTTATCCTCTTAAATTTATATCTTCACTAGGAAACAGCACCTAAGGCTTCTATATATAATCAGTGTTACTTCTGATGAAATTTAGGGAAGAAAGCTTCTAGCCTGGGCTTTCTCATTCCTGGCACAATTAGCAGCTGGGGCCATACTTCCTTGCTGTAGGAGCTGCCCTGAGCATTGCAAGATGGCTGGCAGCATCCCTGGCCTCTGCCCTCTAGAGGTCAACAGGCCCTTCCCCTCAGTCTCAACAAATGTTCACGTGTTGTAGAAGGGACCCAGTGGGAGGTAACTAAATTACAGGGGAAGTTTCCCCCATACTGTTCTTATGGTAGTGAATAAGTCTCACGAGATCTAATGGTTTTATAAGGCAAACACCCTCTCGCTTGGTTCTCATTCTCTCTTGTCTGCTACCATGTAAGAGCCTCCTGCCATGGTTGTGACGCCCCTTCATCCACATGAAACTGTGAGTCCATTAAACCCCTTTCTTTATAATTACCCAGTCTCTGGTATGTCTTTATTAGCAGGATGCAAACAGACTAATACAGGTGGCAAGCTAGCAAATCCTCTAGGCGGATTACCGACAATCAGGGCAACACACCCCATCCTTGAAATGGACACAAGGCACACGGTCTCATTGGGCTCTCCAGGAAAGATCAACACACAAGCCCAACTCTTCGTGAGACATAACTGAGAAGGAAATCCATTCTAAAATCTTCAGCCAACAAAGTGAGCATCCTGGTGTCCTATGTTTCCCCCAGCACAACTCTGGGGTTACCGGACTCCCTTTGTCAACTTCTGCCCACTACATCTGGAGTACTCTAAGGGCAAGGTCCACATCGCATTCACAGTTACAGATTCAGGGCCGCAGTAGGCAGGCATTTTAATACATGGGTGTTGTATGAATGCATCCCCTCCTCAATGAACATCTCATTAGAGCTACCAGCAGTACAACTGAGCCTAGTGTTGTCAAAATTACCAAAGTAGATAACCTAGTATTACTTAAATTGCCCAGTAAAATACAAGTTACAAGAAGTTGTGTAGACAGCCAGGTATAATAATGCTTATACAAACTAAAATTTAAGAACCATTAAAGGGAGAAACAAAAGGGAAGTCTAGGCAGGTGGCTAGACATTCTAATCATTATGCCTTCCAAAGTCACTATCAAATCCCAGGAGGTGGGTAAAGAATGGGCGGAGAATGCTATACTGTTCCTGCTTGCCTGCTGGCTTGACTTTATTCCATTCCAAATATATGGGAATTGTTTCATGTTTAATACTAAGATTCTATCACCTCGATATGCACTTTAAATGGCATGTTTATAGTTGAGTGAATTAAATAAGAAAGAGGAATCACTTCTTCTTCTAGAGTTAGGTACTGAAGTCTGCATAGCAGTTAACATCTGACTCTATCACCCATGAACAAGCCCACTCTTCTACTAAATGTCTCCCTAGCTTTGGGTTGCATTTTGAAGACAACGGAGAGAAATTGCTTTGATTCCCACCTAGAAGCTCATCTCTCTACACATTGTTCTATGCCCGAAGTTCAACGCACCTCTTGCTGTAGTCTCTTAAAGATGTTACATGTCTACAGGTTTTTCCATACAGCATAATTAATTCTTTGGGTTCCACAAAGCTCCCAAATATCTGATCACTTTTGTTTTTTCTGAGTTTCCCATTTGGTTTTAGTTTTGGGTGCCTGCAATGGCTTTGAACCCTTTAATGCTCTTTCTAGTCTTTCTGTTGCACAGTGAACCCTACTGAGAAAAAAATTAAGCCTGTAAGGCCATTCCTGCAGAAGCTGTGTGTTGGGGAAATGAACACACTTGCCCTGGTGAACCGTGTGTCCCCTCCCCCACTGCACTCACAAGCCCAACAGATGGGCCAGTGGAGGCCAGGGCAGATCAATGGGTGATAAACACCAAACAGCTGGAGAAACGATCTGCTTCCACTCCTCAGCCCCTTCCTTCCTCCCCAGGAAAGCTGTCCTCTGCCCGCTAACAGTCATTATCCACTGATGATGGATAATGGGTTTATAATGATGATGGGGATAGTGGGAAGGGAGCTGTTCATCTCATATTTTTAATGTTGAGTTGTCTCTGATAGAAAAAGACATAAACCACATTTTCCTCTTGCATTACGTTAGTCAGAAAGGGAAAGGGCTTCAGGAGGCGCATCCACTGAAAGCAGCCTTCCCTCTTGGCCCTGCTGTCTTCCTAGAGCCCTCTAGTCTTCACTTTTTTTTTTTTTTTTTTTTTTGAGACAAAGTCTCACTCTATTGCCCAGGCTGGAGTGCAGTGGCGCAATCTCAGCTCACTGCAACCTCCACCCCCCGGGTTCAAGCAATTCTCCTGCCTCAGCCTCCCGAGTAGTTGAGATTACAAGCAGGCACCACCCTGCCTGGCTAATTTTTGTATTTTTAGTAGAGATGGGGTTTCACCGTGTTGGCCAGGCTGGTCTCGAACTCCTGACCTCAGATGATCCGCCTGCCTTGGCCTTCCAAAGTACTGGGATCACAGGCATGAGCCACCGCACCCAGCCTAGTCTTCACTTTTGACAACACTGCCCTGCATGGTACACTGAACCTCAGCAGGGGCCACTGAAACAGGCTTTGGGTAAAAGTTTTGCTCTTCTCTTCTTTGTGCTACCATCCTTCTTATGCCAGACAGACTGAAATTCTCAATACCTTTGGTGTCTAGGTCAAAGAATACATGAAGCCAATGGTGCTGTCAGCTGACATTCAGGATGTTACGAGTGTCCAGGTTTGCTGAAGCCAGTCTTTGTTTCCCATGGGAGCAGCAGTGGTAGGCACGTGTCCCCCAACCTGCCCTACACTGGAGGATCTGGATGGATGGGTACATGGTGCGGGTGTCATTTCAGGTTCCTGTATCAGGGACCTGATGGCCATTCTGAAAACAGCCCAGGGCCAAAGAGGAAGTTTGCAGCTTCAGAAATGAGGGAACACGGTGTGTTCAGAACAGAACATACAAGCACTCAGCAGAGAGAGAATAAACAGAAAATGGAATCGCGTGTGGAGGCTCAATATTTCATTTTCTGTATACGCTGTTGACAAAAGCCATGTATGCTAATCTTAGCAACAATTCAGCCCATTCACTTGACAGGTGGGGAAATGTGCTATTAGCTACGGTTGGCTTGCAATATAATGGAAACTTGCAGAGAAAAATCTTTGCTTTCCCAGTGTCTGGCATTGACATCATGAAGGCTAGGGGACAGCTGCCAGAAAGAGTGGCGGGCAGAAGCCCAGAGCAGGCATGTGGCTGGGCACCGTAGACACACACTTTACTCACTCTTCTTCACAGCCCTGACTGACAGGTGTTATTTGCAGTAAATTAATGAAGATACTAAATATTAGCTAGTTTAAAGGACTTCCTTCAAATCCTTAAACCCTCTCAGGGCGATAGACGCCTCTTTAGTATGAGAACGGTTAAAGGTGAATTGTGTCCCCCCTCAAAATTTGTATGTTCAAATCCTAACCCCCAGTACCTCAGAATGTGGCTGTATTTGGAGACAGGACCCTGAAAGTAGTAAGGTAAAATTAGGTCTTCAGGCCAGGCCCTAACACAGTGTGTTTGTCTGTTATCCTTACAAGAGGAGGAAATTTGAACACAGAAGGTACAGAGGGAAGACCATCTGAGGACACAGGGAGAAGACAGCCATCTGTAAGCCAAGGAGAAAGCCCTCAGAAGGAACCAACACTGATAACACCTTGATCTCTGACTTCCAGCTTCCACAACAGTGAGAAAACCCTTTTCTGTTAGTTAAGCGCCCCCGACTGTGGTACTTTTTAATGGCAGCCCTAGCAATCTAATAAACCACCAAAGACAGAATGCGTCAAAGAAGAGCCTGATGATTTGATACAAAGAAGCTTAAAAACTTCTGAATTCCAAAAACCTTCATAAAAATTGAGACAGTGCTCGCTTCAGCAGCATATATACTAAAACTGGAACAACAGAGAGGATTAGTGTGACCCCTGTGTAATTTTTATATATTGAAGTATGTATTTTAAAAATTTAAAGACGAATAACAATCTGAAAAAAAATTTACAATAAACATCATCCAACCTAGTATAATAAATACCCTTAATAAGGATCTCATAAATTTATTTGTTAGCTGGGCACAGTCGCTCGCGCCTGTAATCCTAGCACTTGTGGGGACGAGGCGGGGGGATCACTCGAGGCCAGGAGTTCTTGCTCTGCTGGGGATGAAGCTGAAGCTGCAGCCATGCTCTATGGGGAAAGTCATCCGCAACAGGAAAGAATGAGGCAAGGAGAAGCTAAGACAAGTTAAGAGGAAAACATTCAAAAGGGAACAAGGACAGGATGCCTAGCTATGTTCAGTTTCTGTCGAGTTTTCCTTCACTTTTCCTTCAGTTCTCTGAACTGCCCTAATAACCTTCCTAGATAGACAAACTAATGAATTCCTCATTATGCTCAGTAAGCTTGAGTTCAGTTTCTGTCACTTACCATTGAAAAACTCCTAATACATCAACCTAACCATATCTGTTTACTGCCCTGAGTGCCAAACTTGTCATTAAATGACTGGAAGGCAAAAGAGACTGAAGTTACACACTCTAACCTTGCAATCAAGAGGAAATGATCTTTTGCTCCCCAATTCTAGAGCTTCATATAGCTGTAAGTCCACATCTGTGACCTAGCGCTCAGCACCTAGGCTCTGCCTTTCCTCTGGGGGACTGCTACCAGAAGTCACACATGGACTGCACTAGTTTTACTCTGGCATTTCCCACACAGCACCGCTTCTCTGAGTTATTTATAAATGCAATGCAAAAAGAGGATTCTTGGAAAACACTGAATGGAATAATATCTAATAACTAGTTCATGTACTATATACTTTTCAAGACAATTTTATGAATTAGGTACCATTACCAGCCTGTTTCACAGACAAGCAAACCAAGATGTAAAGACATTAGGTATCTTGCCCAAAGTCACACATCCACATATGGAACCTAGCCAGAATGTAATCTACATGTCTGATTTCATAAGCTCATGTTTGTAACAACTATGCCATTTTCTTTTAATACAGATGAAGTCTCACTATGTTACCGGGTCTTGAACTCCTGAACTTAAGCGATACTTCTTGCTGCAGCCTCCCAAAGTACTGGGATTGCAGGCATAAGCTGGGCTCTATGCCATTCTTTTGAAATAGTTTCCTTTACTGCAGGACTTCTCAGGGACTTTAATGTAACACGTGTTCTGTGAAATGTCCATATGCAATCTACAATATTTCCCAAATGTATCTGTCCAGGAAACTTTTTTTTTAATAAAATATCTTGTGGCACAGATTTCTCATAGGCCATACTTGGAGACCATTTGCCTCCTCGGCTGCGCAGAAAAAAAGAGAATCGCTGAATAGACTTAGCCAGGAATGTAATGGAAAGTGGCAGAGAAAACTTTCCGTTAGTCCCGTATTGAATTATCATCACCTGCATCTATGGGCTTGTCTCCAGGAAAGTAGCCCAATTCTTTTGAGTAACTCTTTCCAACTCACAGAGAACAGTAAAAATTCTATTAACTGCAGCTTCTACCGTGCAAAGCAACAGAATGATAAATAGTAAAAGAAACAGAATACTTGCATTTGTAATCATTTGAACATCTCATTTCCTGCTTTAAATCTGTAGATGGTGACTTGGGACCTCTAGGATATAAACCTTTCACAGCCTGCATCCAGGTACCACCGGTGCATCTTCCCCCACCCAACGAGTCCCTGCTCCCCAAACCCCACGCACTTGCAATGGCTTTGTAAGTCAGACATGGAAAACTGGTTCTACCTTAAGACTGTCAATGATCAATTTGCGGCGGCTGCTGGTGGCCCTGCGTGAAGAAGGAACCCCCAGCCTAAATCAGGATAATCCTCCAGCTAGCTATGGTCTGGGTGAAGGACTAGAGAACTTGAGACAAATGTTTGCAGTATCTCTTCTCAATTCATAAATGGCTTGCCATTTCCTGAGCCTGCCAAGGTCCTCTGTGTCCAGAATTGGTGGGTTCTTGGTCTCGCTGACTTCAAAAATGAAGCCGCACACCCTCGCGGTCAGTGTTATAGTTCTTAAAGATGGTATTTCCAGAGTTTGTTCCTTCAGCTGTTCAGATGTGTCTGGAGTTTCTTCCTACTGGTGGGTTCGCGGTCTCGCTGGCTTCGGGTGTGAAGCTGCAGACCTTTGCCGTGACTGTTACAGCTCTTAAAGGTGGCACGTCTGGAGTCCTTCTTTCCTCCCGTGGTATCGGTGGCTTCAGGAGTGAAGCTGCAGACCTTCACCGTGAGTATCACAGCCTATAAAAGCAGTGCGAACCCAAACAGCCAGCAGCGGCAAGATTTACTGTAATGAGCAAAAGACCCACACCTCTACACAGCCAAATGCGACCCCAGTTGCAGCTGCTAATGCAGCGTGGCCTGCTTTTATTCCCTTATCTGGCCCCACCCACATCCTGCTGATTGGTCCATTTTACAGAGAGCTGATTGGTCCATTTTACAGAGAACTGATTGGTCCGTTTTACAGAGAGCTGACTGGTCCGTTTTGACAGTGCTGATTGGTGCATTTACAATCCTTTAGCTAGACAGAAAAGTTCTCCAAGTCCCCACTCCACCCAGAAGCCCAGCCAGCTTCACCTCTCGTTTTCACCCTGTCTTTGTTCATAATGTTCTCTCTACCTCCAATGTCCTTTCCTTCCCTTGGGTCTGCTTCAAAAATTCCCACCTAGATTTCAATGCCTATCTCACGCGCCAGCTCCTATTAAAGATTTCCCTTACCTCACAGCCTCCTGTGCTAGAAGTAACTGCCCTGAATCTGTCTTCTTAGGTGCTTACAATGACCTACCAGGCACTTTTCCACACCTTATCTTATTCGTTTATATGAGTTCCCTGAGGGTAGGCCTCATATCTTATTCATCTTTGTTGCTCCAGACCTGATCAGACAGCATGGTAAAGAGCAGCTCGATATTTTTCAGACAAGTGAATTAATAAATGAACCACTCTTTCCTTAAAACCAAATTCAGAGATTAAAATACAAATGTGAAGGATTACTCAAGCCAGTGATGCATTTTTAAAATCCAGAATTCCTTGCACAGAAAACCTTCCGGCATTTCTTCAAGCAGCAGCTATTCATTTGTTCCCACTGGACAGAAATAGAAAGGGAGCTGCTGAGAAGTGAGAGCAGGGTCTATTCCAGATTCCTTTTCCTCCTGGAAAAAATCTTTCAAAAACAGGATGAGACCTGAGCTGAGCCACTAGCTCTCTTTCCTTCACTCCAAGCTCTCTTGCACTTTGGGAATCAGCATTTCAACTGGAAAGTTCATCATTTTGCAAACTAATGCACACACTTCCTCCCTTGTTCTGGTTTTCTGGATATTTGCTTTTCAAATTCCTTTTCAGCTGTTGTAATGCCAGTGGCTGCTCCCTTCCTCCCAGCAAGCCCTGTCACTCGGTGATGTGTGCAGACAGTCCCCAGTGAGGAGGCAAGGCTCGAGCTCAGTTCCCTATCGCAGAACCCAGACTAGAGGCCACAGGAAGTGCTGGAGCATTTCCACCATCCTGTGAGCCAAACATTCAAAGTTTCCAAACCTGCTGATCAAAAAACAATATGTGAAACTTCTTTCTCCAGCCCTCTCTCCAGCAACAGCAGAGCTCTAACTGCTACCCCTAAGAAATTTGATTGCATCACATTATCAGTGAAGGCCCCTGCAGAACTCTGGGCTGTGCCTCCACTGGGTTTCACCTGACAACCCTCATACACAGAATTAGTCATTCTGATGCATAATGCAATACCACATGGCTGCCTCACACGGAATACCATTAGGCTCGGCCTTTTTCTCCCGGCCTGGGGTCCTTATTCCCAGAAGAGCACAGACTTGTATGAGGTCTCTGGGGTCAGTTGTTGGCCTGGATGTTAATCCTGGTTCACTCACATTGAAAACGCTGTGACTCGGGCCGGGCACGGTGGCTCACACCTATAATCCCAGCACTTTGGGAGGCTGAGGTGGGCAGATGACCTGAGGTCGGGAGTTTGAGACCAGCCTGACCAACATGGAGAAACCCCGTCTCTACTAAAAATACAAAATTAGCCGGGCGTAGTGGCACATGCCTGTAATCCCAGCTACTCGGGAGGATGAGGCAGGAGAATCACTTGAACCTGGGAGGCAGAGCTTGCGGTAAGCTGAGATCATGCCATTGCACTCCAGCCTGGGCAACAAGAGCTAAACTCTGTCTCAAAAAAAAACAAAATAGAAAACGCTGTGACTCTGGACAAGTTACACAACATGCTGAGCCTCTCAGTATCCTCATCTGTGAAACTGGAATGACAGTGGTACTTTTCTCATGGGATTATTATGAAGATAAATTATCTATAAAGCAATTAGAGTAGTGCCTGACCTGGTATTATTATTTGCCAGACATGGGGTAGCTGGATACATAAAACTGAGGAAACACATCTGTAGTCCAGTCCCGTGAAACACACACAAGCCACACTGCATGAGAATTCCTTTTGCTGTAAACATCATAACTGAATTGGACAAACAGCTACGGTACTAGAAAGGAAATAATAACTTCACCTTAAGTTCAGGGAGTTTTTTAGATTTGAAGTTTTGAGGGCGTACAGAAGATTCCAGGTGAATGATTGTGTTGACAGAAATCGGAGAGGGGAAAGTCAGGGTAAGATTCTGGAAGGATTGACCTACATTGCAAAGGCAGGAAGTCACAGAGAATTGCCTGAGCAGATGCCCTGATGGAAAATAAGAGAACTATTTTCTCTCCTGACCACAGGTCTAGTCCTCTAGGAAAGTTCTCTGAGTACACGAAGGTGACTGGGAGTCAACTTGTCCTAAATCCTTTCTCCCCAAGGAGAACCGGATGTCATCTTGAGTTATGAGGCAGCTGAGTGCTTTAAGAGGGCCTACAGGCGAGCCTCTGTACAGAGGGGGATCTGCTCCACTATTACCGCACAACTTCCCCAACTGTATGTTCTTCCAGCCTTGCAGAGTGACATCTATCCTTTTCTGTCTAATCCTCCCAGCAAATATTCAGAGGGTAGTGTTGGGGCTTAGAAAACAATCAATACCCCAAAGTATGGAGCTTTGACATGCTGAGTACTCTGAACTAAAGAAGACTGGAAGGTGCTAGAACCAAGGTCTCTCTGACCTCTACTGCTCTCCTTTCTCCCATCTCTCTTTCACCGCTGAAGCAACTCATAAAAAACAAAATTCCGTGGTGTCTATGTGCCACATTTTCTTAATCCAGTCTATCATTGATAGGCATTTGGGTTGGTTCCAAGTCTTTTTTATTGTGAACAGTGCTGCAATAAACATACACGTGCATGTGTCTTTATAGTAGATTGATTTATAATCCTTTGGGTATATACCCAGTAATGGGATCGCTGGGTCAAATGGTATTTCTGGCTCCAGATCCTTGATGAATCACCACACTGTCTTCCACAGTGGTTGAACTAATTTACACTCCCACCAACAGTGTAAAAGTGTTCCTATTTCTCCAAAGGATGAGTTCATGTTGTTTGCAGGGACATGGATGAAGCTGGAAACCATTATTCTCAGCAAACTAACGCAGGAACAGAAAACCAAACACCGCATGTTCTCACTCATAAGTCGGAGTTGAACAATGAGAACACGTGGACACAGGGAGGGGAATATCACACACCAGGGCCTGTGTGATAGGGGAGTGATGGCATTAGGATAAATACCTAACATAGATGAAGGGTTGATGGGAGCAGCATACCACCATGGCATGTGTATACCTATGTAACAAACCTGCACATTCTGCACATGTATCCCAGAACTTAAGGTACAATTAAAAAAAAAAAAAAAAGAAAAGAAAAGAAAAATGATCAAGGGATAGGAAGACAAATTCACAAAATTCCTTTAAGCATTAACTTATGTTAATGAAAGAATAATAAATACAAAGAAAAAATTCCTCTTCCACAAGGTAGGTCATAGAAACTAGAACCTCTCTCCCCCAAAGTAAACCATGAAACCTATGAAGGTCACTCTCTTCCTTCTCCCCCAAGACCCTTTTTCCAGAGGGATCCTGCCCTATATCCAGGAGGAAGAAATGCTACACAGAGAGGCCAATAAGAATCTGAACCAACAGCCCTTGCTGAGGTTCCTCCTCAGTCATATGGCCATTACGTCACACCCTTTGTCCAATCATAGTTCTACATGGCTGTCCATTCTATATCAAGCCTAAGCATAAGAATAGTTATGAGGCTTTGGGTCTCTGTTTCTGGGGCTTTGGGTCTTCATTTCTGGGGCTTTGGGTCTTCGTTTCTGAAGGCTCTCATGTCATATAAAACTTTGATTAAATAAATGTGTTATGCTTTTCACTTGCTAACCTGTCTTTGGTTTCAGGAGTGTCAACAGTGGCCCATATGATGGCTGAACACAGGCATCACACTATCACACACTGATAGTAGGCATGATTCACCTGGGGCCTAATGAGCTTTGCTGGCGAGACCTCAGCCCAGCTGCCCCCCAGAAGCTGTGGTTTTAGTGGAGACTAAGACACAGTGATTACTCAGCTTCATTCCAAAGGTTGTCTTATCATGGCTGTAAACAGCAGAACCTCAAATGTTTCTCAGGAAAGATGCAGTTAAAAAACAAATTTCCCCCATTTTCAGGGTGGTAGATATTTTACCTCTCTAGTTATTAGCCACAACGCTACCCTCACTAGTAAGACAAACAAACCTATAGATTTTTTTCCTTCTCATCTCTTTCACCTTAGGAGGCTCTGCCAAAACTCCCTGGATTTTATGATACAAATCTCTTCCTTCTAGTTTTTATCTGAGCTCCCTCACAAGTTTGTTGCAGTTCGATTTAAGATAAAACAGTCAGGGCACATGCTATCAGCATGGCCATACGGCCACACTGTGAGAGCTTTTCACACAAACATCAAGATGACAGTGGAGCCAGTGGGCCATGCTTAAGAACAAGAAGGCTTGTTCCTGCTCAAATGCATAGAGAAGTAAGCTCTGAGGTGGTAAATGGCAGTCCATGGTGCATATTTGGGGGGAAAGTGGTATGTGGTTCTATTCTGAAAGCCAGTATTATTGATTACATCCTAGTGTTGCTGATCTGCTCACTGGTATCCCAAGGATAACATTCTGAATGAATTGTTTTTTTCATGCTCATTTTCCCTTCAAGTTAGCCTGGGCAGAGAGCTTCCCCACAGCCTGTCTGCACTCCCTGGGAAATGATCAGATTAAAAGCTGGTAAGAGGAAAATAGAGAAACTTCCAACCCTGTGTTGGTAGTTTGCTAATTTCATAGTTCTGAAAATTTACTTTGATTTCTCCTCTAGCCTCTATTAACAGGATGCTGATAATTTCAAATGCTTTGTATCTGCATTCAGTTCTAGCAAACTTGGAACTCAACTTGCTAATATCCACTTTGACAAGGACTCT